TAAAAAAAACAGCCACTCAAAATTAGTCACACAGGGGAAAGAAAAAAATAATTGCTGGACAATTAAGCCACTGTGCTAGTATAGGCATGTACCCTATCAATCCAATTGTTCGGTCTGCTGCACAGAAGACTGCAACTGATTCTGCAGTCAATGCATCAACATGGGAAACAACACAGCCCTTTCCTCCTTTAGGGCAGGAGTCAGTTGATGGGGTAACCTTCTAGACCCAAAATTCTGCATTACAATTCATAATATAGCTGGCACCGCAGTCGGAAACAAAAAGCCTCGTTAATTTTAAAAAAACACAAACCCTTACCAAACCATGAGCAAGAAATTCAAAGAGTTTACTCCTGGTTGCTGACTGCATGCCACGCGTCCCTTTCAAACACCCTTTGTCCGTGTGCTACGCTCTACTTTACTGCACCCTCGTTTAGCAAGCTGGTGCTGTCGCTCTCGGGCATCCGACATTTTATTGTGGGGAAGATGCAGTCGCCTCAACTTTATAAGAAATTCAGCAAATCAAAAACCAAACTATAGGAGCAAGTGACATTTCAGAAGACGCCGTAATATTGTTCAGTCCAAGGCCCTACAATGTGCATTCTGAACACCACAAAGAAATGAATCAATGAAAGACCTTGTAACAGCAGTTGTCACGTCACTTGTGCATGCCTTTCAGCTCCATACTACTGCTCTTGCAGGTCTCACCTAATTAACATCAAGACTCAAAAGAGAAAAAAAAAAGACCCTGCCTGCACACAGCAAAACAGTTGTCAGCAGCAAAAGGGTGTTCAGGAAAAGCCTTGAACACTGCCACAATAGCTGCTGAGTTGGTGCAATTAAACACCATTTAACTGGAGAGAGAATTTCAAATAAAAAGAGTAATATATGTCAAAACTGTCTCATCAGCAGGCAGATCAGCAAAAAAAAAGTACACGTTCGGGAAATGGCCGATAAACAGCACTCAGAACAGCAGTTTTCATTCATACCAGTGTCTTGAACTAAGAAAAAAAACACAGATGCTTCTCAAACCAACATGCCAAAAGTGTCAGTCTTTGCTCTTTTGGGTCATTTTCATACATAAACAAGTTTGCCTGGTGTCAGCCATGGCTCAGTACTCTCGCCCCTCTGAGGGGGAAGATTGCGGATTCAAGTTCCATCCCAGAGACTTGAGCACAGAATCTAGGCTGACGCTTCAACGCAGTCCCAGGGAGAGACTACTGTCAGAAGTGTCTTCCTTGGGAAGGAGAGTTGAACCAAAGCCCCATCCTCCCTCTTAGGTCAGAAAAATATTCAGAGAGCACAGAAATTCTCCCCCATGTCCTGGCCAACGTTCCCCCCTTGTACATAATCAGTAAACTAGCACTAGATTCATCCTGAGCTCATGAAAGCCGCAGTATCAATGCAAGTTCTTTGTTTCTAAAAGAATGATTAGGTGGGATGGCTAAAAGGCTGCTCAATCGAGGTGTGTTTTATGGAGGGCTAAAAGGAGGCTAAGACATCAACAATCATCCCACAAAGCAGAAAGTGTGCGGCAACACAGGAGTGTCATTGGAAAATAAAGTGTGTCAAATGAGCCCCTTTTGCTCCATTTACATTGGCACCAAGTCAAGCCAGTCACAGCTTAAGGGACATCATTCTCTACTTGACATTATTAAAAGTGTCTGATCCAAGCATACCAAATTAGTTGTTTCATTCAGAATTTAACAGTACAACCTACAGCACATTTACCTCTAATTAACACAGTATGATCCACTGTTACAGCCCAAATGTCAAGAACAAAAACCAATTGTTTCTCAGCATTGCAGAGGTAAGAGCATTCAAGTAGTAGATTGCTTGGATTTAGTCTTGTCAACATAAGCGTTGAACCCAGCAATAGTAAAAGGCCTCAGATTTAAACAAACTGCAACTCGCACTAAAGTAAGGCCAAGAACACAGACTCATTGCATGAGCCTGCTCCACCATTCAGGATGATCCTGGCTAATCTGAATACTCCACATTCCCCCCTAACCAAAAACCTTTCACCCACTTGCTTATCAAGAATCTATCTACCTCTGCCTTACAAAGCATTCAAAGACTCTGCTTCCACCACCTTTTGAGGAAGAGAGTCCTAAAGATTCATGACTCTCAGAGAAAAAAAGATTGTTGTATATCTGTTTTAAATGGGGCACCCCTTATTTTGGAACAGTGTTCCATAAATTCTAAATTCTCTCACTAGAGGAAACATCCTCTCCATTCAGCTCAAACTTTCCATCTCATTCTAAGCTGGAAACTAAAAGTGCATTCAAATGGCACTTCTAGGTCCAAGCCCAGAGTGGCAAATATTTCACTTTACAGTATTGCCTCAAACCATCTGCAATGGTGGCCATCCCTGCTGTTTCTAAAGGCACTGAGATTGTGCCAGTAAACGCTGTCAATGAAAGAATAATTAGCCACTTTTTTCCTAGATGGTAGCAGATAAAGGCCTCCAAAACATGCTTTGGAAATCACAGACTACTCCCAGGCATCAGATATGATCTAATGGCCAGAAACAGTGCCTAGAGCTACTTCAGCATACACATGGTCACTGAGCAAGGGAGTGAAACCAGGAGCCATGGAAGGACTATCTGCAATGCCCTTATATATATATGGAAAATACTGTGCCAATAAATCAGAACTTTTAAGTCACAGAGAAATGAAGTAGACACGACTGATTTTAATGTACAGCAGGTTGAAATCAGAAGCACCAGTCAACTGAAATCGGCTTCTTTCGTCAAAGGTGTGATCAGGATGATAGCTGAAAAATTGGCTCAGGTCACTAATTCTGAATCAAGGCTAAATGAAAAGAACTTGCACCCATACAGCGCCCATCACACTCTTGGGGCAGTCCAAAAGCATTTCAGTTGGTGAAGTGCTTTCACTTTACACGCTGTAGTGTTGTGCCAACCTGAGGAAAGTTTCTAAAATACTCACTGGTTCCTGTCCATCCCCATTTCATGTTGCCTGATCTACTGATTTCAACTTCTCAGCTTGGTTTCAGACTTTCAGTAGCTGCAGTCACCACTTTTCTTTCAGGATCAAGATCTTCTTCGGCATGTAGCATCAGCATCACAAAATGCTCTTCAACACATCAAGTCTATACCAGAGCAATCAACTCAAATCTTATTTACCTACTTTCCACCACACCCCATTCCCCGCCTTTTGTAATGTATAATCACACAATTTTTTAAAATATCATTCTTTCATGGGATGTCTGTATCACTAGCTGGGCCAGCATTCATTGCCCATCCCTAATTGCCACTTGATCTGATTCTCCCCAGACCATTTCAGATGGCAGTTAAGAGTCAACTACATTGTTGTGTATCTGGAGTCACATGTAGACCAGAGTAGACAAGGATGACAAATTTCCTTCTCTGAAGGACATTAGAGAACCAGATGGGGTTTTAAGCAAAATCAACAATGGTTACATGGTCCCCATTAAGCTAGCTTTTAATTATAAAGTTAATTGAGTCACATTTCACCATTTGCTGCAGAGGGAGTCAAACCCCTGTCCCCAGAGCTTGACCAGTGACATCTGGAAGCCTCCTTCTTTGTAGTCACATCCCTTGACTTCTTCAATCCTTCAATGCCCTGAGAATTTCACCAGCTCAGGCATATTTTTGCTCTGAATTTTCCCTCAACATTGTACAATGA